TATTTTCAAGTGGTATTTTCAAGTGGTGTGGAACGAGGCTGCTAGCCTCTATCAGTTGGTACACCCATGAGCTGTTAAATACAGACCTGAGTCGATTCCGAAAGGAACGAGATATAAGTGGAAAAAAAATAAATTGAATAGTAATTCCGACTTATCTGGGGCCGGTGAGGTGGACGATTATTTTTAGATTTGTAATTTTATTCTAGGCTACCAGAGTGGCGAGAGACAACTCGCCTGGCCAGGGCAAAAAAAAAAAAAAAAAAAAGAAATTTAGATTCTATATATAATTTCTGTTTGTGACGATATATTATATATTTTTTGTTTTTAATCTGGTAAAGTATTTCGATATGACCCTGAGGCAAAAATTGTGCAGTTCGTTTTTTTTCTGCATACCTTAGTTTTTTTTTTTTTGGCTGGGACTTGCCCGCCCGGGCTGCCCGGACTGCCCGGACAGGACGTGTATACTGCGAAAGTGAAACCTCGCACGTGTTGTCTATTGTTGCAAGTGTCTCTCTCTCTCTCTCTCTCTCTCTCTCTCTCTCTCTCTCTCTCTCTCTCTCTCTCTCTCTCTCTCGCACACACACACACACAGGATTTGTCTCTTGCAGTCTTCCCATGTCTGTCAATGGGATCTCGGCGCCCTTGCCGCTCATCTTCTGTTGATTTCTTCGGCTTCCTGCTCCTCCTTCTCCTGACGATTTCCACTGTCTCACCTGAACTCCTTTCATGTCGGTCAATTCTAAGTCTGCTGTCAATCTCGGTCCCCTGTCTTCCTCTACGTCTTCTTCTTCTTCTTCTCCTTCCCCTTGTAGAGTTCTCTTTTCTCTTCTTCTTCTTCTTCTTTCCCGTCCTTCCTCCCTCCTTAGGATTTTTGCTTCTTCTTATCTTCCTTTTCTTCGGGATTTCTTCGTCTCCTGAACTCTTCTCGTGTCTGAATCCAGTTAGGAACGCGCATTCGATACATGTCTCCTTTTCGGCTGCCTCTCTTCTTCCTCTTCCCCTTCTACAATTCGTTCCTTTCTTCTTCTTCTTCCTCCTTTCCTGCTCCTTCTTCTTCCTCCTTTCCTGCTCCTTTTTTCTTCTTCTTCTTCCTCCCTTCCTGCTCCTTTTTCTTCTTCCTCCTTCCCCAGGATTTCTTCTTTTTCTCCTTCCTCGTCTTTGCTCCCTTCTCCTCCTGCCATAGAATGTCAGTCTCTTGCAGTGTCCTCCCTTGGCGCCTTCTCTTATTCTCCTTCTTCCTCCCCCTTCCTCTCCTTTCTCTTTTTCTTCTTCTTCTTCTTCGTCTTTTCTCCTTCCTCCTCCTCTTTCCTTTAGGATTTTTCTCTCCTCCACTCTCCTCTTGTCTCTTCCCATTTCTTTCCCCTTCTCTCTCTCTCTCACTTGTGCCTCCTCCCTTATGTCTTCCCTTTCCTCCCTTTTCCCCTCTCCCTATCCTTTCTTCTTTACGATCCCCCGAAAAAGATGGTCAAGCCGATGAAGATGGCGATGGTGAGATGACCCCCTCCTTTTCACGTCCTCTCTGTCCCTCTCCCTTTTCTTCCTCCCTTTCCCTCTTTCCCCTTTTCCCCCTTTCCCCCGGCGTCACTCCCCCTCTCCTCCCTTCCCCCTCCACGCTCCCCCTGACCCTCCGCCTTCCCTCCGTGTTCCCTCCCCAGCATCCTCGCCCCCCTCCCCCCTCCCTCCCTCCCACCCTCCAACCCTCCCACCCACCCCCCTCCAAGCAGACCACCATTTGTGACATCTGCTGCTGACAAGCGTGAGTGCAAATGTGGATGTTTAAGTTGGATCCGCATCGAACATGGATGTGTAAGCGAACCGGGTGATGCCATGTGGATGGTCATCGATGTGATGACCACGTGCTTGCGATTCGTTTGCACGTGGATGGTAATCAACATCATGACCGCGTGCATCCGATCTGTGCAGCAAACATGGATGTGTATGCCAGGTGGGAAGAAGTATGTGATGATGATGATGATGATGATGACACATCGGATGATGCCAGGTGGGAAGAAGTATGTGATGATGATGACGATGACGATGATGATGATGATGATGATGGTGGTGATATTGATGATCATGATGCTGATGACCACGTGGATGGTAATTAGTGAAAAAGACATCATGCATGGATATTGATGATCATGCATGAGCTTTTTTTAGGGGAGGCAGTGGTATTGGTTATGTGTTCTCAGTGCCCACCGGGTCCTCTTGGTCCCGTAAAAAGCTAAACTGGCTGATGCTGCCAGGATAACTCCGGGTTGAGATGTGAGGTCCCCGGCCTCGTGTGCTCTTGTGGGAAAAAAAAAAAAGAAGAAGAAAAAAAAAAGAACATCATGAGAGAGAGAGAATGACCTTCCTCGAAACAAAATAAATTAAAATTAAAAGAAAAAAAAGGATTTCCTTCCTCGAAACAAAATAAATTAAAATTGAAAGGTTACCCTATTTTTATGATGATGATGATGAGTCGGAAAGTGTGGAAGGAAATCCTTTTTTTTTCATTTAATTTTAATTTAAATTTATTTTGTGTCGAGGAAGGAAATTCGCAGAGAGAAGGACGAAGTAATTACTACTCCTTTGACCGAATTGTTAAGTTAGGATCAAGGTGAAGCGATTTGGACAAACGAAAATTCAATTGGACAATCATCAAACCCAATTGGTCAGTTTAATTTTCCTATTTATTACATTATCGGAACCGATTTGGACATACGAGAATTAGGTTGGGAGAAGTGATGATGAGCATTTTTTCGGACATACCAGATTTAGTTAGGTTGGGAGAAATGATGATGAGCATTTTTTTTGACATAGTTAGGTTGGGAGATATGATGATGGGCATTTTTTTGGACATACCAGATTTAGTTGGTTGGGAGAAATGATTGAGCATTTTTTTGAACAAAAGGATTTAACAGTTTGGACGCTTGATAGAGTAGAGTTGGGCAGAGATTGATTTAACAAATTATTAGAATTGCCAAAACCACATTTAGTACAACAATCATCGACTGACTTGAGATTCTGTGCCGACCATCGGGACCGACAAAGAGATCAAATTAGTGAAGGGATTTTGTGTCTGAATCACGGGCGTGCTGCACCCGTAAACTGCCCGGCCCTACGGTCTTCTTCCGAATACAACGTACGGTCATTATAGCTGAATTTGGTGAATCTTTCAGTCTAAATTCAGCTATGATGACCGTACGTTGTATTCGGGGGAAGACTGTAGGTGGATGTGTGATTGACGCACAATTTTCTGTTGGGCCCACCAATTTATGCGCTCGTCAGTCTAAATCGTTTGGTCCTTTGACGTAGGGCACAGTGGGTCTGTCCAAGTTTCTTCTAGAATACCTGTCCATACCGAAGACGTACGGTTCCAAGAAGCTTCTACAAAAATCTAAAACTTTTGGACTTACACGCCCGATTCCAATCTACCGGTCCAAGAAGCTTCTACAAAATAATTATTCTAAATCGGTTTGCCATTTCTCTAACCTAGGCGCACTCACCTAAATTGAAAAAAAAAAACAAAAAAAAAACAATACGCTCTTGTTTACCGCAGGAACCCGGCAGGGCCTGCCCATTTCGGTTCACCATATGTCCAAATAGCGGCCGCATGCATCGAACTTAACTGGCTGGTCAAAGGAGTATTATAGGACGGTATAATGTCAACATCAGCAAGGGGGACAAGAAAAGACAGGATAAAGGACCTGAGTTGGGATATACAGACCTGAGTTCGAATCCAGATGCACTCGATCAACAGAATAAAATAATTGTGAATTACCTTGGGCCGGTCGGTGCAATGATGATATCTCAAGGCCAAATTTTCCTTTGGAAAAAAAAAGAAAAAAGAAGGCGAACCCCCCACCCACCCCAAAAAAAAGAAAAGAAAAGAAGGGGATCAACCGAATAAAATAATTGTGAATTGCCTTGGGCCGGTCGGTGCAATGATGATATCTCAAGGTCACATTTTCCTTTGAAAAAAAAAAAAAATTAAGGAAGGGGAACCCCCCCCCCAAAAAAAAAGAAACGATGAATGAGGGGGAGGAACATGCGTGTGTGTGTGTGTGTGTGTTTCATGTTTCGCCACGTCCCCTGTCATCCCCCTTCAGCTGACGCTGTGATTTGGTTCTTTGTTTTTCTTCCGCATTGAGATATCGTCATGGAAAAATTAAGGAAGGGGAACCCCCCCCACAAAAAAAAAGGAAACGATAAATGAGGGGGAGGAAAATGTGTGTGTGTGTGTGTGTGTGTGTGTGTGTGTGTGTGTGTGTGTTTCATGTTTCACCACGTCCCCTGTCATCCCCCTTCAGCTGACGCTGTGATTTGGTTCTTTGTTTTTCTTCCGCATTGAGATATCGTCATGGAACTGCCCGGCCTGCCCGGCCCTACGGTCTTCCCCGGAATACAATGTGCGGTCATTATAGCTGAATTTGGGGCATCTTTCAGTCCAAATTCAGCTATGACGACCGTGTGTTGTATTCGGGGGAAGACTGTATGTGATCCCGAACTGTAGTTTTTTTTTTTTTTAATTATTTGTTTCCAGTGGAGTTTGAACTCAGGTCTGTACTTCAACAGTTGAGCAGTGTACCAACTGAGATACGCCAGCTGGTACCCGGCGATTCCAAACTGTAGTTTTTTTTTGTTTTTTTTTTTTTAATTATCTGTTTCCAGTGGAGTTTGAACTCAGGTCTGTACTTCAACAGTTGAGAAGTGTACCAACTGAGATACGCCAGCTGGTACCCGGCGATTGGGTTCTAATGGTTCTGGTTTCCTCGTTTTTTTGTCATTTCTTCAAAAAGGGCGACGGCCTTGAAATATCATCGTTGAGCTGACTGGGCCCAAGCAATTCAGAAGTATTCGGTTATACTCATCATGTACCATTGTCACATCATGTGGATTCGAACCCAGGTCTGTATTTCAACAGTTTGTGCGTGTACACACTGAGCTAGTCTCTTGGGTGATGTTTTTTGTTTCTGATTTCTTCTCCTAAATCATCTTGTGTGTGTGGGATGCAGATTTACGGCGAAGCTGGTGGCATTGTTGATAAGCGTGGCCACAGGAAACGCAGTGACCTTCCGGTTTATCGGTCTTCTGCGTGTGAAAGATTTTTCCATTCAGTTTAAAAGGGTGAGTGGAACGCAGACAGCAAACCAGGAGGGGAGAAAGGGTGAAGCTCAAATATTTCAACAGCTATGTTGGTATGGTCCATGGGGGCTGGGATTGCAGGGGTCTGCTCAGGTGCCACCCGTGCTGGGCACGGCCGGGCAATTCTGGCGGGATTTCTGTTTTTAAGCTGGGGAAAAAAAAAGAAAACGAAAACTTCAAAAAGATGGAGAAAACCATGTGTTGTGTGAAAATGACAGTACAAAGAAGAAAATGCCTGTTTATTTTCAACAAGATACATAATAATAATAATAATAATAATAATAATATAAAAATAAATGGGAAAAAAACAAAGTCAACGTACGCCCCTTTAAAACCACCAGTACTTGGCCCGTACATCGGCCATGGGTGCCTCACTGCGATCTCCGAAGGCCGTAAATGCGGAAATGGGCGTTGATGAAATTTATCGACGGCGCTGAGGCCCTGAAAGTTGCGGCGCGTGCACGAAAACGGGCCGCGGCCGATGTGTGGGCCAAGTACTGGTGGTTTGAACCACGGGTTGAGTTGATCTACAGGCGGCACTGTAAATTTTACTGGTACGTGAATACCAGGCCAAATTTTACGGTGCCCAGGGGCGCCAGGCCCAGTAGAGGCTCTTGGTGGGACACGGGGCAACTGTAGGTGTTTTTCATAGGCCGGCATTTGTAGGTTCTCCAACTTTTGGTTCGTAACTTCGTAGTCCATCTAGCTTCGAATGGATTGGTGGTTTGAACCATCTGTATGTCCCCCAGCTATGCTATACTGTAGCAGTTTTTTCATTGTGAAGCAATGTGAACGAATTTAACTAGGCTCGTACACTCATACATTCATGAAATGGCTCGTGTATTTAAAAAGAAGACGAAGAAAAAAAGAAATGGCTCGTATGTTATCTGCAGCACCTTGATAACGTACTGGCACTCTATACCCGTTTTTTTTGTTTCTCTTCTTGTTTCTTCTTCTTCTTCTTCTTCTTCTTCTTCTTCTTCTTCTTCTTCTTCTTATGCTGCTGCTGCTGCTCCTCTTCTTCTTTATTGCTCTTCTTCTTCTGTTTCCTCTTCTTCTTCTTCTTCTTCTTCTTCTTCTTCTTCTTCTTCTTCTTCTTCTTCTTCTGCTGCTGCTGCTGCTGCTGCTGCTGCTGCTGCTCTCTTAGTCTTTATTGCTCTTCTTCTTCCTCCACCGCTACGTAGCACCGTGTTCGTGTTTGGAGGCGAACGCGAACAAGGGCCCAAAACCCTCTGAACGCGAACATAAAAAAAAAAGTAATCAGAAAAATAAAAAAAAATATATATGTTATGTAAAATGTGAGGATTGAGCCCTCAAGGCGCCTTGCCGTGATGTACATGTTCTGGGCTAAGGCCCCCAGCAAGCCTTGTGCCCGCCCTAAGTGAAGGCGGGCCAGCAAATCAACAAGAGCCCTCTGTGCAAACATTTCACGAAGTGGGGTCCATACAGTTGCAGCACGCCAGTTGGTTGGAGTGCACCGAGTATCGGAGCTCTGCAAATGCAGAAATCCCAGGGCCCCAGAGTTGGTTAGGCCCTGGGCAGAAAACGTGAGGCCGACAATGCATGCTGGATATAGAGGCCGAAAATGCCCATGGGAAACCGGGGCCACTATCTGAATCTGGCCGCAGGCCTTGATGAAAGAGGCGCAACTGCATCTCCTCGGCCCCAACCGCATTGGGCCTGGGTACAGGTACTGGGGCCCAGTCGCAGGCTGAAGGGAGGCCGCCCACACGCAACACTGGCATATAGGCAGGGAGGGCGAGTGGGCGGGGATCTTGGCCATTGCGGACAATGCCGGCACGCTGCGCGAATGCGAGGTGCTGTGCTGCGCTAGGCTGAGGTAGAGGCAGGCTGCGCTAAGCGGTAGAGCGCTGCCTGGGCGCAGGGCGCTGGCGGCCATAGCCGGGCTGCCTGTGGGCGCAGAGGAGGTGAAGGGCGAAGGTGGTTCTTCGGAGGTGAAGGGCGCTGTGTGGGATAACAAGGGAGAGTGTGGGTGAAGAGAGAGACGTACCTGGTGGAGAGGAGGTCGGCATTGGAGTTGACATCATCACTCGCTGGTCGTCAAGTTGTCTGGTTGCTTCCATGCTGTAGTTGTAGAGATAGGCGCCTGGCGCCATTCAACAGAGAGAGCTACATTGGGTTATGCTGTTGGTGTTGCCCGATTGGGCTTGGACATTGACTCACGATTCTTCTGTATCGTTCTCAAATGGATGGTTACTCGGTTCCATTGTGCTATCTGCTCTTGCTTTGACTACTTGGACTTCATTGTGCTATCTGTTCTCCTTCTTCTTCTTCTTCATCTCTTCTTTTATTCTTTACTGTTCTTCTTCGTTCTCGACCGTCATCCTCCCTCAAGCATCTTCTTCTCTGCAATCAAAAGGGGAAAAAATATAAAAAAAATATCCCGGGCTTGAGAGCAAAAGGGAGGGAAAAGATAGTTAGTTGGGAGACACCGTCGACCTTGTGAAGTAGGCCACCTTGAAATAGAGGGCACAGTCGGTGAATTGAACAAGATGAAGCATGGGGGCGACAACGCAGGCATCCTTTAGAGCTTTTTTTCAGATTGCTTTTTTTGTTTCACCAAAATGGGTTTCTGCAAGGACCCAAGGTTCTCAAACAGACAAGCAGAGGCCCTGGGCCCAGCCCACAGGGATAAAACCAGGTCAAGCCCCTGCCTGACCAGGCTGTCTGGGACTGGGTAGGGCAAGGCCGAGACCTGAAGGCTGTAGAAGGCAGCTCCGCCAAAGTGTTTAGACCGCCAGTACCTCCGAGGCACATTTGCCTGTGTCTCCAAATGCCCTGGGGACCAGAAAATAAAGAACCGGTGTGGGCCTCATTTTGGCTGGCGTCGACGCCAGCCGTTTTTCACCGGCTGCGGACCCCCAACAGCTGTGGCAGCATGCAAGCCACAACTTTGAAAAAATGGTTGGGAAAGGTACTGGTCGTTTAAGGAAGGCCGGAGCAAGTCGAACTCGTCTTTCTCGGATCAAGCTTGCGTTGATAGGCCACTGGGTGCTCTCGGCCAGCTACGCTTGCAGGAGTGGTGTCAGCCGACAGACCAGCGCCTCAATGGCTGGACTGAGAGCGAAGACCAGGGCTTAGAGAGAACGATTTGCACTGACCGGCCGACATGGCAGCATATAATAGTCCCGAGTAGAACGCCTGGTCAGTATAGCCGTATTTGGTGGAAAAAAAATTTCAGTCCAGATGCAGTCATAGTGAGTGGGTGTTGTATTCGGGTGACGATGGTAGTGGCAGCCATGGTTGATGAAGAAGGCCGGGGCCATAGCCGGGGTTGGGCGCTGAGGAAGAAACCGGACTTCATAGCTGTGCAGTGTCGAGATCGAAGAAGTTTGAGCTAGAAAGGGAGATCTTTGGGGGGGGGAGGGAGGGAAGAGCAAGACCATGGAGAAGGGAAGAGTCAGTGAGGTACTACCGTACTAACCTGGTGGTCGTCGAGGGGTCCTGCAAAGTACAGGGAAGTGGCATGGTATTCTGCCTCGCTGGTCTCTCTACGAGCCCAAGTGACCAAGAATCTATCACAGCGTAGTAAACAGGGGGCCGTGGCGAACTGTTACGTCGGACTTTCGCTCACTTATCAAGAGGCTGAACCCTCGACAGCCTGTAGCGTCCTAACAGAGAAAACTGTAGGGGATAATCCACCACCAACTGCTGCGCAACTGATACCTGAGGTCATACTAACAGCGGGACGTTTTTGAATGAGCTCTGGACGTAATTACTCGTAATTACTGATCTAATTGTGGTCAGATAGGTCCAGCAAAGAACTACCGTCTTCCCCTGAATAGAACGGACGGTCAATATCGCTGTATCTACACTGAAAGGTGCACCAGATACAGGCATAATGACCGTATGATGCTCATTCTATTCGGAGGAAGACTGTTGTTGTGGATCCCTTGGACTGGCTGTGTCGAGGTCCAACCTCCTGATGAGTCGGTGAAAGTCCGACGAAAGGGTCTGTCATAGAATCTGTTTTTGTATTCGGTGCAACTCTCAGTCCGCTAATTTGGTGCAACTCTCAGTCCGCTAACCTTATCTTTGTTTGAAAAAAGGCTAGAGCCCACTCAGCAATGTCTATGTCTAGGTCTGGAGATTCGATGCATGATTTTCCAAGCAGGTGACAGTCTGACGAAACAGTCTATCGTAGTAGCATCTGCTCTCATCTATGGCACAAGTCTCAGTCCGGTAACCTTATCTTTGCTCCAAGGATGGCCCGCGACTGAACAATGTCTATGTCTAGGTCTCGAGATCTGACGTGTGTTATGCGAAGTTGGTTTGTACCATCTCATCATAGCCGTCGGATTTCATAACAAGGACCTAGACACAGTCCTGTTCCCCCCAGGTGGTCTAAGCCCCTTCAGAACTTGGTAGGAGATCTGATAGTCACAACGAGACCGGCGTAAGATTCAACTTTTTGTCTGAGTGGGGATCCGGGCCGCCTGGGTGACCGGCAGGGGCCCGGGGGAGGTCCCGGGCGGCCTGGCCGGGCAGGGCACCCGGTTGGGGGCCGGCCCCCCCCAGCGCACTCACCTGTCGGGGGATTTCGGACCCCCTTTCGGACCCCCTTTGTGTGTGTGTGTGTGTGTGTGTGCGTCTGTGTGTGTGTGTGTGTGCGTCTGTGTGTGCGTGTGTGTGTAAGAGAGAGAGAGAGAGAGAGAGAGAGAGAG